CGTCCATAGCATTAATTTAAAAGAGGGCTCAATACCAAGAGTAGAGCGATAGTTATTTATTGTAAAGATGTTACATACGGACAAACAAATACTCACGACAAGGATGTATTTTTGTTTCGGTGCGAAAAAAAGATCTTTGTACGAACCTTGTTTTTTATGTCTACAAGAAAAAATGTCTATTATTAAACTTTTGAATAATAGCCAATTGTTAAACCAAAGATCAGAAACTACCGTTTTTTTGTAGGCCAGTTAAAGATCTAACATTACAATCTTGCTAAACCGTTAACTTTATAATTCACTTCTCTCATATTATTTTACCTTCTTATATATAGACCACTGTTAAAATTAAGGTTCTGAATTTTGTATATGTATACTACTAGTAATAATAATAGATAAAAATAGTTTTATACGTATACTTATATTACAAGTTATATAGTTTGATAATAGGTTTTACTTTAAAAACATATATTAGTATTCTATACTTTATATGACTTTTTATTTGTATTTTAAATTTTTAATTCAAATTTTTAATGTAATTTAAATAGTTTATTTATTTTTGCATGTCTAATAGTTTTATTATTTTAAAGGGTCCTTTATTTACATATTACGTTTAATTCTATTAAATAATATGTCTGCTCCTTTAAATAATGTCAAACTTTGATCGCTGCATAATATCAAGACTGTTTCAATGGAGCAAACATTTCCAGTTAAGTTTAAATCCATCAGGATAGTTTTTTTTTTATCTTAATGATAACGTTCTTTCATTGGCTGAATTGTTATCAAAAACTCATATTTTCTTTTTTTTTTTCTTTCTTTCTTTCTTTCTTTCTCCTTTTTTCCGTTTACATGTAGATATTTCTCCTATTCGTTTTTGTATACTATTCTCTTCTATTATTTTTTTTTCTTTTTCTTTGGAGTTATAATGTGTTGTCGTTTAATTTTTCTTAACACTTATATTTCTCTTTCTTCTTTCTCCTTTTTTTCCTCTATTGTCTTCTTATCCTCTTCTTTTTGCTTTTATCTGTTTCTCCTTCTTCTTCTTCTTCTTCTTCTTCTTCTTCTTCTTCTTCTTCTTCTTCTTCTTTCTTTTCCTTTTATGGGGTTTCTCCTTATGTCTTTTAAAAATAAATTGAATAATGAAAAAAACAAAGGGATGTTACATAAGTAGCATTTTTAAATAGAATCGTTTATAACCATCTTTGTTCCTCACCTGTCGAGATGCGTTCGCATCGAAACAAAAATGCACCTTTGTCGTGAGTACTTGTTTGTCCGTATGTAACATCTTTATAATATATATATATATATATATATATATATATATATATATATACACAATCACTAAACAGAGACACATCCTCTCTCCAGGACCAATAAAACTGTCAAACTGCCCAAGGGAATTCAGAGCAGCATAGATCCATCCGGCTCTTATCTCAAATAACAACTTAAAAGAGACTGTTTGACCAACACAAGGAATGTTAAAAGTTTCATGTTAAAAAGATAAAAAAAAAAACAAAAAAAAAACAAATGAAAACTACAGACAAAAGTTCATTTTCTCCAGCAAGACATTCATTTCTGTAGTTTACTGCTACCAGCAAGCAGAAATATTTCTTCTCTCGATGATGGCCATTTTGGCCGAAACTAGTCGAGGGATCTAAATGAAAGAATAATAAAAAAAAAAACGAATGGAATTTTCAATTTTCTAAACTTAGCAAAAATGAATCCGCGAAGTTGAAAAGATCACAACGAAAACTAATCGACATAATATGTCTAAATTATTTAACCAGATTTCTTTGAATAAAAATATATGCCTATATATATATATATATATATATATATATATATATATATATATATATATATATGTGTGAAAATATATAGAAAATAGGAAGGAACTGGTTAGGTAAATAATCCAAAAGTCCCTTAGTATTTTAGTTATTATTTTAAAAAAATTCTTATGTAGCGATTTGGAATCATATTTTAAATAAATAATTATATATATATATATATATATATATATATATATATATATATATATATATATATAAATATATATGTAAAAATCTGTAAATAATCCAAGTGAATCCTAATAATATAAAATATTAAAAAAAAGAGCTCAATGTATTTATTATAGCAGAGCATATATATATATATTAAAATTTGCATATAAGAGAAATTCACAAAAACCCTATTTGTATAGTTATTTCACACCACAAGAACTACCTTGCAGGATTTGTCAGCACGAAGGGGTTAGGAAATAAAGATTTTTGAATTTCTCTTATATGTAATTTATATATATATATATATATATATATATATATATAAAGAGATAGATAGATAGATAGATAGAGAGAGTGGAGGGAAAGAGAGAGAGAGAGAGAGAGAGAGAGAGAGAGAGAGAGAGAGAGAGAGAGATTTTCATTACGGAGCGCGTATCCAGATATGACAATGAAATGGAGTCAAAATAAAACAGAGTCAAATGGAATCAAATAAATGAACAAGGAAGTAAATGAAATGGAAAGCGCTCACAAAGAACAGCTTCCATAGTGAAGAATTTAAGAATAAAAAATAATAATGTTTTCTCATCATTTGAAGCTGTATATAATTCAATGTATCTTTTTTTCTGCATTACTGTCATACGAATTTATTCCTCATGAATTACAACGATGAACAGCAACAAATTCACTACTCTTGTATAAGATGCACACACATAGCACTCTCAAAATTCCTCCTATTCTAGTATGAATACTGACACATGAGTATTTTGCTGAACACACACACACAGATACACACGTAGACACCCGCACACACACATTTATAAACAACATAGACAGCGAAACATGCAATGTCTTATCAAAGACGCAAACGCAATGTCTTTAGACTGATCCGTACGCTGTGTCCAAATATCCATACAATCGTTAGCAATACATACGCACATAAAAATACACACACATAAAAGAGGCTGGGAAATTTATACATAGTCATTGGCACGCACTTACTGAGCTCGTGTGTAGATTGAACAGGGCCAATCAGGTCACGGCGGACCCACAGTCAATTGTTCCGTGTCTACAAAGTTATCTCTGGGCCTCGGTCGATCCTTTTGTGGACTTGCCTTTCATGGCGACCTCCAGCAGAGTGCTAGGTGTGATGGCAGGATAACATTATGACAGGGGGGAGATGTCCACCAAGTGATAAGAAGAAATCGGACAATCGTAGACCCGTTCGGTGAGCTATTTGCAATTCAGATCGACTCAGGCTCGCCGATCGCCGCGTTTGAAGGCAGGACGTTTAAAGTGACTTTATCGCTGGGCGTTGAATCTTGTGGGCGATGATAAATTTGACATGCACATGAAAGAGAAAAAAGGAAATGGAAAGAGGAAGAAGGATGAAATGATTAAAAAAAGGGAGTGGGAAAATAAAGAAATGGTGGGAAATAGGTAAATAAAAAAAAAGGAAAAGAGAAAGAATTAAAAGAGGAAAACTAAAAAAAAAAAAAAAAGGAAGGAAGCTGAAGATGAAAGAAATATCGAAGAATAAAAACAGGAAAGGAAAAGATGTAAACAAAATCAAAAAAATCGAGGGAAGGATAGTGAAAAATAAAAGTAGTGTGGAAATATAAGCGGGGGAGGAAAATAAATAGTCTCAGACTGTACGAAAAAGGTAAAAGTTGTACAGTAGTAAGAAGGAAAGCACTTTGAAAAGAAGAAGGTTGAAACAAAGATGGCGGCAAAGAAATGAAGAGAGAAAGTAAAACAAAAGGAAAAAAAGAAAATGAAGAAATCGAAGCGGTACGAAAGATAGAATAGAAAAAGAGTAAGCGAGAGAAAATGAAGAAAATAATTAAGATAAAAACATTAGCGCCCAGGAATGAAATAAACGCGCAGAAACAAATAAGAAATAAGGAAAATCTACAAAGCAAAAAAAGGGAAAGAAAAAGACTGGAAAAAAAAATTAAAAACAAAAAAAGGAATTAAAATATGAAATGTAAAAATATAAAGTTCAATGAAAAAGAAAAAATACTGAAAATTAAAACTGTTAAAAGAAATACTGTATATACTAGAATATCATGCAACTTAATTTTGAAGCTAATTTTAAGGAAGGGTCGCATCATACACGAGATATAAAATTAACATATATACTGCTGGCCCTGGCTACACCGTGGACTAAATTATATATCCATTTACTATAGTAAAAAAAGTACAGATGTATTTAAAATAAACAAGATTTTGATAATAAATTGATGTTTTACTTAACTGTATCCAATAATAATGCATGTCATATTCACATATTAGTGTCTTATAAAAAAAACAAAACAAAGCGAATATGCATCTTTTCCCATTGTATACGTTTATAAGTTGTTTAACTGATCGAGACCTTATAGCAAAACAATTGTTTCTCGTTCGGTTGTTTATGGCTGGATGAGTTTACGTAACGAATATAGCGTTACTAACGATACATTTATCATTCCCTTTTACTTTTGTAAATTATTTGACTAAAAGATGGGATAAAGCGATAGAGGAAAAGAGGTTAGTCTTTTGTAATTTGGTCTCTCAAAAAGTGAAAATTTGGGGGTCGCAAGATACGTACGGTATTAAATGAGTTTAACAATGAACGGAACGAACAGCGAGTTTGCTTTCTAATCTAGTGCACGAACGAACTTGGGCGTAGAAGAAAATAAAGCTAATTCAATAGAGAAGAAAAACACCAATAAAATCGATGGTATTGATAAAGGAAAGAGTGTATAGCAAAGAAAAAGAACTACGAGAAAGAATTAGAAGCACAAGATGTGCATAAAGAATCTCTGAACTTGAAAAAAGAAAACCCCAAAATACAACTCCATTTTATTAAAAAAAAAGTAATATTTCCAATTTAACGTACGAGAGAATAATGAAAATCCGTTGAGTCGACCAAGGAGCCGTTTCCTCAAAAATATATGGTCAGAATTTAGGAAGTGGATCGGACCGAGAACTTTTCAGCAACCTTTCGTACAACAGCACTAATTTATGATGAGTCAGTTTGTAAACATAGAATATTGGTGACATCAGGTTTGAAAAAGATTCAAGCATCTTTGAAATTAAGTAAACAGCTGAGTCCATTAGAAATATAGAAACCTGTGTTTACATCTATCTATCTATCTATCTATCTATCTATCTATCTATCTATCTATCTATCTATCTATCTACCCCAGTCTTTATATATATATATATTAGTCTTTTTTTATCTATCTATCTATCTATCTATCTATCTATCTATCTATCTATCTATCTATCTATCACAGTCTTTATATATATATATATATATATATATATATATATATATATATATTACCCATTTTATCTATCTATCTATCTATCTATCTATCTATCTATCTATCTATCTATCTATCTATCTATCTATCTATCACAAGTGATCTCTTTATTTATTTATCTATTAACGTGTGCTTTTAACTATCAAATATAGAGAATCATTTATCTATCTACCACAGATGGAATCTATCTATCTCTATCTATCTATCTATCTATCTATCTATCTATCTATCTATCTATCTATCTATCCCAGTCTTTATATATATATATATATATATATATATATATATATATATATATATATATATATATATATATATATATATATATATATAGTTTTTATCTATCTATCTATCTATCTATCTGCATAATATTGTGCTCAGAATTACTTTTAAGTAGGACTTTGGCGATCAGGAAAGCTAGGGCTAAACTGAAAGTCTGTATTTAGAACATACCAACATAAACTAGATGAGACAATACTTAAAGGAAATAATATTAAATATACAATGGTGAAACATCTTAATACATTTTAATTAAATTTTATATTTTCTTTAACACCTAAATAATATATAATTATAAAATATAGTTTAATTATAATTATGCACTATTTCTTTGGCTTTATATTTTTATTTTCTCACCCTCACTTTGTCTCGTTCACTTTTTTTTTTCCTGTCACGAATCACCATATTTACATTTTATTTTAACATATTTTCTATGGACTAATCTCACAGATTTTGACCATAGATATATATTTTAAAATTTCATTGACCAGTGATTTTTTTCAAATCGACCACGGCATTTTTACGTATCAGGATTCCCATGATAATGGCATCTTAGACCCTTTTCAGTTATTTTTTGATAATGCTCACGTAAAGGAAGTAAAATGTCAACAATAAAATCAAAATGTTCATCATAATTGTTTTCACGCATTCCACCGTCGTTAGGATATTTCACAGCAAGCATTTACCCACCCCTATATATATATATATATATATATATATATATATATATATATATATATATATATATAAAGTTGTTTTGCTTTAACAGTTCATATTCGAGTAAATGATCTGTTTATTTAATTAAACACTATTACTTATGTACATATATTTACCGGCTTGAATCTTCAAAAATCTTGCCAGGAAATATGCGTCCTCGTGCTTAACCGATTCGACTAATAATAATATCTTAACAATATACAGACTGGTAAATGTAATTAAATAAAAATAGTATAAAGCAAATAAACAGTGCATTTACTCAAATATGAATATCCATCTAAAATAACGTGTAAGTAAAATAAATTAGAATATGTCGGATTTAATTCATTTGACACATACATACATACATACATACATATATATATATATATATATATATATATATATATTAATGCATTACTACAATATTAAAAAATCTAGCGTCGCATTTCTGCACGTTCCAAAAATATTCTTAACTGTTAATAATAACACATTTTTTTAATAAAACATCTTTCAATAAGTAACATATTCATTTTGGTCTTGAAATTTTTACCTGAAATTACCTGAAATTGAGGGGAAAAAAGAACATCTAGGCCTGAAGATGGTGATTATATGCATCGAAATTGAATGCAAAGTATATGGACCAAACATCTAATCCATAGTACAATTAATAAAAATAAGAATCGTGCTGTTCAGCGAATGGTCAATAAGTTAATGCCTTATTAATCTGTTAACGAAGTCTATTCACCATTAATTACATTAACTTTATTGATTTATTCTTTGAGTAACTATTTTATAATATATATATATATATATATATATATATATATATATATATATATATATATATATTTTAGGTCGATGAATTGGATCGTATTTACGATTCCAATGGAATAAATTATGACCATGGAATATTAGTGTTTAAGCCTTTATATATATATATATATATATATATATATATATATATATATATAACTAGACTCGTTTTTGAAAAACCCTCGGATTTTTGATTTGCCAATAATCAAATCAATCTCGAGGGAAAAAAAAGGTTTTAAAAAAAGAAAGAGCTACAAACATGAACTTCTGTCGACAAAAAATCGCACAGATGCAGGTCTGAAGCCCAAAGAAAAAAAAACCCGATACGAGTAACAACTAACTAACAAAAGAGCTCAATACAACCGTAGCCAAACTTTCCCTGACGATACGTTTAGGTGAAACCTAGGTAGGTTTGTCTGGCTCACTAGGTGTGTGTATATATATATATATATATATATATATATATATATATATATATATATATATATATATATATATAAAATATAAAAGAACAGTAAGATATATAATCCGGTGTTCTTATAGATATTTTTTTTTTACAAAATAGTGCTCAATGTAAATTTACAGTGCATAATATTATAAATTGATTTAAAATATGGTTTTATATATATATATATATATATATATATATATATATATATATATATATATATAAAATCATCTTATCAATATACAGATTACCTTGTAAAACGGTCATTGCAATTGCGTTTAAATTATTTTAAATTATAAAATTCATGGAAATATAATTCATGAACATTCATGAAAATGGAAATTTAAACAGAATTTTTTAAAGAAGAATATTTGGTGAATTCTTCGCTCAAAATTAGGTTTTAAGCACACGACACAAATTAGATTCCTAAAGCAGGACAACTGCCCAGTTACATTATAAACATCTGATGTGTATAGGAGGCACGGTGGAGGAATTGATAGCGGCTGGGATTGAGGAATTACACTCAAATCCATTCCATTCACTTACGTGCTAATACCCTTGGGAAAGGTATGAATCCTCTTCTCCCTCCCAACTATGGGTAAATAGTATGACAGACCTGGTTGCCACAGAAAGAAATGGCAAACTTCTGCCTTCGATACATGATCGCCTAAGCGTGTATCACGCATGGCACATGACTGACTGACTGATGTGTATATGCCAACATTTATCGAATACCAACAATATTTACTTAAATTAAAATCTTGTAAATAAATGTATGATTATCAGGAAAAAACAGGAAATTTTAATTATTTATTTCCAGGTGTTATTTTTAATCATAAGGTCATCTTGATTATTAGCTTCTTTTTCTTTCTATAAACTGTGCAAATCATATAATGGTATTACTTATTGTAAAAAAAAAGGCCACTATGCCGTTTGATCCATGAGAAATTGATCGGGTAGGCAGTCATATCTTTATGTCTTTCGTACAAATTATGCAGCAAACATATCATCATTCAACCGTCGTCACCTCTGAAGTCGTTATAAGAATTAATAGCCCGTTTTTATCGATTCAATCTATTGTTGTGTTATGCATTAAGCATATGGCTTCTCTAAGCCAAACAGCAGTCTTTAGATGAATCAGTGTTCAACCAAAACTGAGCCTTTTATTTACCCGAAGATTCCAGATTTACATATAATGAATTCCTGTGTCATGACTGTATTTTGAGGCTTTCAGTATAAAAAAAATGTTCATATTCGCCAAATTGAATGCGCCAAATGTTCGCCTGTGTAATAAATCTGGCGTCTCTCAGAGTTCTGATCTCTGAAAAATTGTGTTTAATCCATTTTAAATTGGATTGGAGGGTCAACTTCTATCAATGATGTTTTATAAAAGTGATGGGTATTTCAATAAATTTGTGACAGTTTATATTGCAGAGAAAAGCATAGACAAAAACGCAATCACACGCACACACACGTGTCTCTCTCTCTCTCTCTATATATATATATATATATATATATATATATATATATATATATATATATAGTACAAATGTTTATATAAAGTTGTGCGTTGTTATATGTACTAATGAACAAGATATAGTTTTGTACTACTTGCACCCCTGAAGATGATCTTGGAAGAAGATCGAAAATACTTGGGAAATGAAAATAAAAGAAATTTAAACAGCTATAGCACATTTCTCTCATCTTTTAACATGGAAGGTTATTCGTGAGTGTGAACGGATTTTGTTAAAAATTAGCAGACATAATGTCTGTAATTTATTCAATCAGACATGTCTAAAAGAAAATTTGCTGCCTAAATGCACACACACACACACACACACACACACACACACACACACACACACACACACACACACACATATATATATATATATATATATAATATAAAAAAAATCGAAAAATATAAGCAGTAAATTGCTGATACCCTCTGAAGACTGGACGGACTGGTTCGCCTACGAAACTCTGGAGTCGGTATACTGAAGGTAACATCAATCAGTTAAGCAATGATGGCCTCTCTATGTTCCAGTTTATCATGAGATGAAAAATAACACACTCACCTACACCCTCTGAGCTTTATTTTCTATTTAGCGTATATCTGACATTTAATTGGTTAATCAAGACATACCCACAAGTCTATTTTTAATTCTGACCTTATGTCCCCACTTTAACTTTCCGAAAAGAGGTAAAAATTTCTACACAATTGTGTTTCGACACTACAAATGTGTCTCCTTCACTCGCCAGTAGTTTAACATCGCCCGAGGAGATACATTTGTAGTGTCGAAACATAATTGTAACGATTTTTGACATGTTTTGTTTTAATATCCTATATATATATATATATATATATATATATATATATATATATATATATATATATATATAAACAGTTCGACACCAATGAGAATTTAAAAAGGAAGCTCAGATCAACATGGTCAATCTGAACAGGGTTACGCAAATGATATCTAAAAAGTGAAACATAATCATTTACCACTGTGATACAGAATACAGCCTGAAATCAAAACTTGCTTATTCTTACTCACTCAAGTTTCGAGATTCGCTGAGGAGTATAGGACCAACAGCATTCAGAATACTAGGCATTGCTACTGTGGCCTCCATAGCAAATAGTACGTTTTTACGGAATGAAGTTGCCAAACCGGTTTTGAATTCAGAGTTGTCTTTCTCCTATACCGGTTATCAACCAGGGTAAATACCCAGTTTGATTTACTATTTAACCCATAATCGGGAGATATCTATAAAAGGCAGAATGCATGTGTGTGTGTGTGTGTGTGTAACGAATGCACGGCCGCAATTTTCGACGGATTTGCACCAAAATTTACATGCACATGCTCCAAGTTATTAGAAAGGTCAAGATCGACTTTGCATTTCCCAACTCCCATCGATAGTGGAAATAATCGATGTTTTCATGATTCTACGGCAGTTTTCATGTAGTTTGCGGCCATTTTGTATTGGCCAGAGTGAGAGTCAATAGC